ATCAGTTCCAGCATGTCTGGATTCCTACAGACCAAGTGCTCAAGACAACTGCGATGGTTAAAATAACTAGCATAGTGTACTGGACACCAACCTTGGATATCATATAACAAAGCATCAGCTTTATATGCAAGGAGACATGACAAGCTATCAAGCGCACCACACTTTGCAGCTAGATGGAGAGGTGTTATACCTTGTTGTGAGGGGATACTGTTGAACCTCCTTGCATTGATATCACAGCCATTCACAACTAATAAAGTGATCACTTGTGGTCGGTTATACATGGCTGCATAGTGAATCAATGACAAGCCACTGACATCTTGCATTGATAATCTTGATGCAGGCAGCCTTCTTGCTAAGCTGTAGACCACCCCTACCATGCCTCGCTGACATGCTGCCTGAAGGCCAGCAAAATGCTGTTTGAGGTTCATGGTTTGTTGGGTACCAAATCTCTTCTTAAAAAGCTCGTAAATAAGATACTCTTGAATTGGCAGCTTCTTGCACTTTAGCTTACTGATCTCCTCGTAATGAGCATGAACCCATATTGGCTGCTTTGGTGAAACTGGATAGAATGTTTCCAAGTAAAATGCAATTGCATAATACTCCTTGCCATCAATAGTAATGGTCGACAGAGGGTATTTCTCCAACATGGGTGATTTGGCATCAATGATTTTGTTAAACTTTGACAATGCTTCATCACAAAACTTATCATTAAGTTTGACAAGGTTATTGGGAAGTTCTGAAACAGGTGCTGTCTCTCTGTCAATCAAAATTCCACCATGCAAATGGCTGTATGAATCATCAGTGATAAAATGTTTCCATTTGTTATTCTTTGAAATAGCCAACGGTGGAAACTCTCGTTCTGTTTTACACTCCTCAAAAGTGAATCCTGGTAGCAGTTTGTTGACATTGATTACTTTGCATCGTTTTCGCAAAGCAATCAGAAACGGCACAAGAAAACTGATAAACTTAATGAGTAGAAGCTGTCTACGTACTTCTAGCTTAGTGGGTAAGGTCTCTTGAATGAATTTCTCTTGCTTTGAAAGATGTTTTTGCAATCTCTCGGCTGATTTGATATCAACATGATCAGATTTTACAGCACCACTTATGTGGTAATCAGCATCAATAAGGAACATGCTATCATGATGTTGGATGCTATTTTGATAAAATGTCATTATCATCGACAACTCTTCAATATGTTTATTGAAAACTTGCACCTGTTCCTGCATAGGTAAATCTTCATTATTTTCAACAGAAATGTTTTCAAATGCTGCAGAATAACTTGGATCCTTGGACATGTCCAAAATTCCAGCTTCCGTCCAAATAAGCTCGATATTCCTCTTCGTTTCTGGGACACCTGTGTGTGTGTTTAAATTCACCAACTGTCTCCAACGTTCTGCAAACTTTGTTCGTTTATCTTTTGGAAAATAAGCCCCATGCCATAAACTTTTCATCAAGTAGTCAACTTCAATAAGCAGTTGACCTACTCTAGTATCACAGTAAGCTGGTGGTAACTTAATGGCTGTGCTGTCCTCGTAGTTAGCCTCTAAATGTACTGATGGCGTTTGGTTCAAGACATAAATACCAGTCACTAATTCTCTAACGATTTGATGAACTTCTCTTAACTCTAAATTATCAATGCTTTTTTCAGCTGGTAGTAAAAACAAACATTTATCTGAGTCCGAAGCAATATTCATATTACTTATCAAACCTTTGGGCATTTCAACTGGTATTTTAGTTTCCTCAGTCGAGAGCAGACAGTCATAAGATGAAGTTGCCAAAGTTTCTTGCAATTCATATCGTTCAATTTTGTCGAAGTATGTGGCTGCCGCTCTTGAGGCTGCCATATTCGCCATTATATCCAAGTTTGACATTCTTTTGCCTTTCGGAGACAACATATTTTAAGCTTGTGTTACGTCATGTCAGAGGTGAACAGTGTGATTTACTATTATTACATTTTAGCGCCAACTTTGCTCCTCTGAAATAAATGAAATTTGATCGCTCAAATCTCAGTTTGATAGTGTTGCATTGTTTATATTCTTCTCAAATGTTGTTGTCACCGTTCATCGCTGGTTGCCATAACAACCATACCTGAACTAGAAGTTACTCTCGCAAGGAAAGTGTTGCCTCAAATCATTTAGGGAGAGAGGGGGGGGAGGGGGCTGACAAATACCAATAGCCGCCCCCGATCGCAAGTCTTTTATTTTCAAGAGGCCCCCACCTTCATCTAGAAAATTTAGGACTCTCTCTCCCCCCCACTCTAACATTTAATTCGTTACATTTTTTGTAATCTGCAACATGTTCTCATATTTATTTTTATATAAACCCAAACTCTTCCAAGCTTGGTGGGATTAACGGATCACTTCATTTAGCCAATCAGATTACGAGCTTTTCTGGATAGTGATCTGATTGGTTAGAATTAAGGCGGACCAGAAAGTAGACGAGTACCTACAAAATGGCGAAATAGCTGGTATCCTGGCGTGAAACTTAATTAAAGGTGATCTACAGTCCGATCTGCGCTGACTGCGCATGTCCACAAATGAGCCCACTTTTTATGATACAAACAGTTTAACTATGTTTTGAGTTCTTGAAAAGCCTGATTGTTATTTCTTGATCATTTATTATACTCCAGAATCTTGAAAATATAAATAGTTGTCGAATAAAGCTCAATATATATTTTGGACACAAAAATGTAAACAAAGGCTTTGTTTACATACGGACTGTAGATCATCTTTAAACTTTAGAATTTAAAATAGTTTAATTTAGGTTTTTAGTTGCGTTTTTAAATTTGATATGACATAAACAAGTAGTAAAGATACGTTTTTAAAGGTGATCTACAGTCCTTATTATTTATATAGTATTTATATTTTCAAGCTTCTAGAGTATAATAAATGATCAAGAAACAACAATTAGGCTTTTCAAGAACTCAAAACATAGTTAAACTGTTTGTATCATAAAAAGTGGGCTCATTTGTGCACATGCGCAGATCGGACTGTAGATCACCTTTAAAGTTAGATAAAAAGCACAAAACACACTGCTAACTTTTTAGTCGCCATTCAATTGATCGGTAAATTTGAAGATCTGTTTATATCGAATGATAAGTTTAAGCTAGATTTCGGCTAAACTCAACGTTATCGTCAGAGGCGAGTGGTGAGATAGGTGGCTTACCAACCGGTATCGAACGAACGGCGGGGGAGAGTGCCGGCGTCCCCCAGACCATTATGCCTGCACCCTTTTCGCAAGATCCTATGATCGGTAACTACCACACGCTAATAAAAGTAACAGTTTCGTATATAAGTACGTTGTAGTTGCCAGGTGTGGTGCACGTGAGACGCTTTAGATCGGTGTTTACAAACCTTTGAAACGAACGCATGCGCGATAATCTGACACTCGGCTAAACGTAACACATGCGTGGGCATCATCCAATCAAGACGCAGGAAAATTTCGCACTGGTCCCGCGAGTTCGAGGCATGTGCGAGACCCTGTTGCGAGACGGCTCAGAAATTTGAAATTTGTATACAAAACAAAATAACAAATTCATTCCTTGTTTTTAATAGTGAAAATATTTAAGTAAATATATATTATTCACATGTATTTGCTTGTCGAAGGTTGAAATTTAAACGATAAATCGACTCGAAAAGATGAAGACGATGTGAAATCTACATCATTATTCATCAATTATTAAACCAAAAGGTCGCACCGCCGTTGGTTTCTAGTCTAACTCAGGCTGATACGAAAGGTACAAAGCTTCATATTTTTATATTTTGTACTGTTTTGTTTCCTTTTTTGACGATAGTTGATGAGAAAATTTTCTTGTCTAAAAGTATAACGGTAAGAGATTTACATGCTATAAAGCCGGACATGATTCATGATCTATACAAAACAAAGCATGCACGCCATTTGTTCGTGCTGCCTCTGAAAGAGCTGTTGTGATTGGCTTAGCTTTAGAAATATTACTTCTGTCACTGAAATGATGTCGTTCGTGAATCTGTCCTCTAGTAGACCCATGAAGAGGCAGATTGAACTCAGATTATTCTATAGATTATGGAGAACTCCTGTTACAATAAACTCGTGTGAGTAGAGTCAAGTTAAGGCATGTTTTATCAACCAACCGTGTTGCGGAAATGTGCTGAGATTTTTGGCAGGGGTGGAGAGCGATGGTTGGCCTCCTATATATAGGAAACAAAATCAGAAAGACAATGTAAGACAATGTAATACAGAAAAAAATTTCGAATTTTTTAAATTTACTTTAATTACTACAAACATCTAAAATACAATGTATATATACTACTTTAATTAACAGCATTAGATCCTAAAGGCTGATTTCCACTGTTGCGTTTTTCGTACGCACGGAAAACTTTGAATCCTTCTATTTTTTAAATATTTTACAAATAAGTTAACAAATGGATACTAAAACTTGCGGAACACTAAATTCTGTTACTTTATTTATTTGGTTATTTCATAAGTAACATTTAATTAAGTTTTACGTGCGTTGATACGTACGTATGAAAAACGCAACAGTGGAAACCAGCCTTAAGGCTAGTTTTTACTTTGGGTCGAATACGACACGTTATACTTTTTACAAGTGTGTACATGATTACAGACTAGGTTTCAAATTAATCAGTGTTCATTGATTACTATTTAATTATACTTACTACTTGCTTACTGGATCATTGACTTACTGACATATTATGACTACAGGGGCGTCGCTAAAGGGGGGACGGGTGGAGGTGTGACACCTCCCTAAAAACATCTTGTCGGCGAAATAAAAGATTTTGTCGGCCATTTTTACATTGTTCGTCTAATCAAATTTGACATGACACCC